CAACCTCCCTGCTCAAGCAGGTCATCCCTCTCTCTGCCAATATGGAAAGTTCTACTTTCTGCGGTCATAAAGTGCAGAATTTGATAGCAGTTTTACATGAAAAAGGCAAAAATAATTTAGTCCATGGAATTAAAAATCATTAATTCGATGTAAAGACTGAAAAAAATCAGTAAGCTATCCAGTCTCTCTGAGTTCATCAGTTTACAAATGCTCTTTCCATATGCTTTCCAGACCTTTGTGCGGGCTGATCTATAGGCTAATATCTTCAACTGGAAGATATTTCACAGAATTAAAATCCAGTCTGATCATGTGAACACATGAATACAGAAATGAAACAAGAACAATCTTGATTCTCAAGTAAACTAGTAAATGCAGAATAAAATTTTAATTATAAATTAGTAGAGGTAAAACAAATCTGGATCTTTAACCAAATTTCATACTGCACCTCAGTAATATGAATATTATAAACAAATAATCAAAATAAACTTGATTTAATTTTTTTTCTTAAAAGACATAACACAGATGATCTTGTAAGTACTATTTTCGCTGGAACTGAATGTATAAGTTCCAAATATCAAAAAAAGAGTGCTATAGCATAAATCTACTTACCCAAACCCAAGACTTTCTTGAAGAAAAGCCCCACCTCATAAGACTTATAGCCTGAACTTTATAGTTAAGAGCTTAGTTGGGAGTAATTCAGGAAATCATCCAAAGACAAAATGATCACTGCCCCTTCCAGTCTTCCAGAGGTATGAATGCATGAACAAGCCTGCAGGTTTATTGCTATATTCTAAACCCAACAGTCTTTCAGCTATGGTGATGGTGGCAGATACCTTTCCATCCTTTTACGGTACTTCACTTTAGAAACATCACTTCAAAATGACCCCTCGAATACTAACTCGTGAATTCCTCAGATAGTTTACAGAAAAAGCCTACACAAAGTCAAATCAAAAGCTTTAAAAAGGAAAGAGCTAATTATAGATAGGGTGTAAGGAAGCACTTGCTGGTCTCAAAATTTTTAAGAAAAATGGCTAAGAGGAAATATCATTGTAAAGAATATTATATGCAATACCTACTTTGTAAAAGTATTTCCTAAAATGCAAAATCATGTACTACAGAATTCATCCAGGGAAAAAAACAGGAAGGGGAAACAGTAGTGACTGAATTGCTCGTCAGAGAGAACAGAAAAGCTACGTAGGATTCAATGTAGAAAATACCGAAAGACATATCACCGGTATCCTAAGATACCTCCTTAGCTGTATTACAGAATAATATTTTGTAATATTTCTTTGTAAACTTTCTTACACGTCCGATTGCTTGCTATGTCTGAATTTCGTTTACCAGCTATGACTTAGTTTTTTATATACGTATATTTATTATCAATTATTTTCTGTCTTGTAACTACAGCCTGGTTTTCTCTGTATCATTTGTATTTAGTGATGACTATAGCAAGAAGCAATTGTTTGTCTGCTCTGTGTATAACGAAACTGAGAAGGCCAGTTTTGTTTGTCTACTGATCACCTGATTCTGGTGTATCAAGGCACACAGTAAAAACAATACAGTGGCTTCTGATGAGCTGAAGAAGAAAAATGGTAAAAAAGCAGCTGCTTAGCAGTAATGTCATTACCTACAGAGCAACTCTCATTGCTTACAAATTTGTAATTCAAGACAAGGATTGTTACCGGTTTTTTGGTAATTTTTTTTTTGTTCTAGATTGTAATTGTGCCAAATTCATTACCCTACTTGTCCTTAAAGCCGTGTTTTTAGTCTCAGTCACATTTTGTATAGATGTATTGGTAAAAAATTTTGGTATATGTGCAACAGTGAGTACTGCTGTTTATTTAGCAGGTGGAACTTCAATCAAAAACTATAAAAAAATTCCTGTTATGTATTTTATGAGATTCTAGAAATCTCACTACAGTAATACTACAAAGTAGAAATTATAATTTAAATTTAAAATTTAAAAAATTCCCTGTGGACTTTCATAACAAAACTAACCTAGTATCTAGTAGATTTAACCAGTGATAACTGCATACTGCCCACAAACTACTTCTGTTTCCAAAGTCTGTATGTATGTGTCTCATCTAAGAGAGAAGTAAGATTCTTTATTGTGCCAAATGCATCCTATATTGTTTATGAGACCTTTGGGGACTTTATGGGCTGAAAAGTAAAATGAAATGTGAGATCAAACTTATTGGTGTGTTGGTTATTTTTAAGTGGAGTTTGTATCAAGAATTCTTATGCACTCATTCTAGCTGCTTTGACAGTTACAATTCCATAGAAAGGCTCTCCTTAGTATTAAAGTCACACAGTGCAATCCTCAAAACACATGTAATCATCTGTTGATTTTAACTTACAACCTAATGTTTAATAGCCATAGAGAAACATGTTATTCCACACACACAGAGTTCACAAGGTAGCATGTATAAACAAATACATAAAAGCTACAAAGCAGATTCCATGTATTTTTCTATTTTGTAGAAAGTTTAAAAATATACACATTTGTTATTTTAAGGGCTGAAACTATATCTTTCACCAAAATTCAGCTGTTTTCATATTGTACATGTATTTAATTTTATCTGGAAACTTTCTGACAATAGAAATAGAAAACCTGTAGTTTCTCATTATGTTTACTGCCAGAATCTATGCTTGGTTGCTCAACTAAAGACCTTATATTGCTAATTACTACCACATGCCTGTATCCCACGCAAAGGAAAACTTATTGGTTCTGACAATCCATTCTCTCAACACTGAATTCCAAATGAAAACTTAAATTTTGGCCAAACATAACATTTCATCAATCTTGTTCTACTGACTGCAAAAGCAACATCAAACAAGGGGTGATAATGGCTTTTTACTGTGCCGTTCCCAAGCTTAGATTCTCTGATGAAAGACCCACACGAGCAAAGGACATCTTTAAACTACTACCTAATTAATATTTGAGCTGGAAAACAATGCATAAAGTAAATTGAACAGTCTGTATGCTGGTGACAGAACTGAGTTTCAAACAACAAATTATATGAGCAGTACAGATCAGCAGAAAAAGCACTGACAACAGAGTGAGATAAAAACAAACAGATAGTGCAAATAAAGAAAGACAAAAACAAAAGGTGAAAAAATAAAATTAAGCAAGCCCCAAAGCTAGCAGAAGCCTGTAATCTGATGCTGAGTTTTTCAGGATGTGGGGTTCTGACTGAAGATCAGGTCAAAATTTAGAGACATCTGAGCAATGCTGGGTACTAGTGACAATGTAGAAGGGGAGAGACTAAAACTGTATGTAAAATAGTTTTTAACCATATACCCCTCTGCTATAACTCCTTTGGAGCTTCAAAAACAGAGGTATATGTTCTCTATTTGAAAAACCTACTCTTTGAGAAACGAAGCATTACAAATATGAATCTGAGTCTATGAAACTATGCCACAAAAAAACATTTTTGGAAATTCATGATACTATTCTTTCTCAGAAATAAATCAAGGCATTTTATTAGTCTAGGTAAGTGATGGAAGTTTCCAACACTGGTGTTTACAGTTTACCCTAGGCATTTGAGGGTATCTCAAAAAATGCAAGTATTGAAAACTACTGTCTAATTGCTCAAATATTATTGAACAGACAATAGTATTCTAATTCTAAAACTTTGATTTATCTACCCAGTGATGTAAAACAGTACTCTAGAATTATCTCTGTGGGCCATTTACAGTCTCTGCTACGCAGAGAAGAAAAACAACTTGATTAAACCCTAATCCACTTTAATAAAATGTTTCAGGGTGATGATTTGAAAGAAACCAAGTAAAAAATTTTCTTCAAGTAAGGAGAGGGAAAAGTAATTAGACACATTTCTTTCAGTACCTTCTTTATTTTACATGAAAAGGGCTCTCTGTATGACTAGTCTTTCAGGGCAAATGTATCTCTACCACTGAATGTCACAATGATATGTAATGAAATGAAAGATGACAACATTAAAGGTGATACTGTGCTAGTTCACACTATATCACCAAGTACATCTAGTTCAGTAATGGCTATATCCCAGCAGGTCTAGGTGCTGGGAATGCCAGAAAGAGCTGGTTTTAACTTGGTCATGAAAACAAAGAGGTTTTCAATAGAAACATAATGAGCTAATCTGGTCCAATAAAATTTAACCTTTGCCACCAGGTAAAAACAGTGGGTTTTATGGGTTTGGTTTTTTACCAAACTGTTTATATTAAGGCTACTGTCCGCTCTTCTTAGGGTAAGTTTTTTACAGTGTGTGGAGGAGAATTGCTTTAAAATCCCTGGTCATAGATCCTAAAATCATGAGTGTTTGCAATATCCATAGGAAGTGAAAAGAAGATCCATGAGAATCTGCTGATGGAACATTGAGAAACAGGGCTATTAGACTTCTTACATAGTCAGTCCAACAGAATAAACTGGTCAACTTAAATCTCCTGTTTTACACTCCAGTAAAACTGATTCTTCTGAAGAACTGAAAATCATGTGAATTATCATTGCATTTAGAGATAAACCACACGATAATCTGATGCCCAAAACAGTTAAGTGACAACTCAGTCTTGTTCCAGAAGCTCACTGCATAGGTAATAGCAGCACTTTTTACAACATATGTTAGTGCAGTCTTAGTGGTATCCAGGTTCTCTGGAAGTAGGGACAAAATGTTGTGACTTGTACCATAGCATAGCCCAGGTCTCTATAGTGTGACAACTCTCCAGTGGTAACATCTGATGTCAAAGAATACAGCCTTATAAGCTGTGAATCAGCTATTACCACCTTCAGGGGCTCTTTAAAGTCACACAACCACACCTGGTCTTTTTTGACTTACTTTCTGCCTCGAGTTGAGTTAAAAGTTCCGCCGTATTTCTTCCGATTAAGGATGAGAGCAGCAATTTCTGGCACGTAGCGAGCAAACATTGCCTACATGCATGAAACAAAAACACAAAAAAAAAAAGAAAATGGCATGCAGAGAGTGTTCTACTGCAGCAGAGGCAGCAGAGCCTCTTGGGATACTTACTTTCTTCCACTAACCGCACTATAGGAACCACCATATTTCTTGCGGTTTCCTATTAACTCTATGATTTCAGGGACGTAGCTGGCAAACATGGCCTAAGAAGAAGATAGGAGACAGAAGAAAAGACTAAAAAGAGAGGCCAAAGAAAGGGGGATGATGAATATTTTCAGAAGATATATATTTTTAAGATCTAAAAATGCAAAAGAATTAGATCTATGCAGTTGTTTAAAAAGAAAATTTAAAAAAATATAAAAGTTCTTATCAAACAAAACAAGAGGGCTCAATGTAAAAGTTGGTCTTGGAGAAGGTGCACGCCTTATAAATAAAGAAAATGGTCAAAAGAGGAAAAATAGACACACAAAACAAAACAAGAACAAAATTAATTCAAACTGGTATCTAATCACGAAAAGCAGTTATGTCTATTTTTTCCTGAAGAAGGAAGGGGAAAAAACCTATCCAAGCCCCACTGCAAAAAAAATCCAAAACCAAGTATTATCATTACTGTTATATTTCTATTTTAAAATACAGACTCTTCCTCCCAGTATTAGAATTTAAAAGAAAACAAAAACAAGATGGAATCAGGGGTTATTTCCCCATCAAGAAACAAAAAAATCACTCCCCCGCCCCCCCCAAAAAAAAACTTTTCCAAAAGTTGTTGGGTTTAGAAGGATTGGAATAACATGTGATAGAAAAAAGGTTTTGAGGAGAAAATAAAAAATATTCTGCCATGTTTTGTCCAACAAACATCTTCCTTGTGGCTGGATACTTCGAAGAGCTACTGCCATTTGACATGATCTTTGTCTTTGTATGTCAATGATCAGAGATGGGAATGCATATATTTAATGCTCATATTTATGTGTCTTATATATGGCATTCATAACACTAGTTATATACATATCACCTCTGTAAGATGTATGTATATGTGAAATCATTATGAGAGGGTAACAATACACATATGTATGTATGTGCACAACCTATATTAGTCATCCATAAAGCACTTACCTTGAAATATGTAAATATTAAAATAAACTTTGCTGGTTTAGAGAACAATATTGCTACAGTTCCTATAATATTACTAATGCTGACACATTGTAGAAAAGTTGACATAAGACAATTAGTAACTTGGATGCTATTTACATACAGGACAAAGAACACAAGAATCCCATAAAAGGATTCTGATTATTGTCATGTGATAAATTGTGAGTTAAAATTGCACTACATGACATGAAAAGATGTTTGAAATTAAAGAGAATGTGGTTTGCCATCATCTAGATCAGGCAAGCTGCTCTTTAAGGCAGTCCAAAGCCACAGTGTTTGTTGGAATTCTGGGAAGGAACACAGAAGGGTGGGTAGGACATCTGAAACCGCAAAGTGCCTTTAAATATCAATATCAGCCTCCAAAAAAATGCACTACAGTCAGCCACTAAAACACAGAGGACTACAAATAATGTTATAAGTTGAAATATTAAGGCACTTCATGTATTCACATGCATTACTCATTTAAAGGAATTAGAAAAATTCTGACTAAACTGGACTAATTTGACAACCTTTACCAAAATATTTATCTACACGAAAAAAGGGCATATTAAACATATTTGAATGTTTTATAATTAATTTTAGTTTTACTTAATTACAATATTGAGGTATACCAGATCAAGTACTAAGGTAGCTGGAATGATAGGAAGAATTAAAAAAAAAGAGTTTTTACCAATCCCCCAAGAATGAAGAAGACCATGAAAAGGCGACCAAGGGTTGTTTTTGCATAAACATCTCCATAGCCAACAGTGGACATTGTAACCATCAGTAAATAAACACATTCCCAATATGTTAGCGGTTGATTATTTTGGAAGTTTTCCCATGGATCCCCTGAGTTCTCCACCTAAATGTAAAAGAAAACATATAATGAATTAATAGAATTGTATGCCAAATTAAATCTTACCATATATGCATGTGTGTGCATATATACATATAATATGGCATATAATATAAACTCTGAATCCCTTTCTGTGATTTATTTTGAACAAATACAAAACCTGACCCTGTCCCAAATATAGCACTACAATTCTTTTGCCAATATACATAGCCTTTCCACTCAAACTATTTATGGAAAGCATCTTTTCCATTCACCACTACTAATGTGGTTAGGTGAGTTCATTTAAAAAAAATTTCTTTAGAACATTTTCAGAGTGAAACATGTATAATGCAATTATACTCCTTAATGTTTTTGTTTTAAAGGACTACGTAGCTATTAGGCATTACTGACATGTTTAGTGATATGCTATTACATTTTCAAAAAGCCAGCTGCTGTTGTGACAAAATTATAAATTTATCAGTGGGAAAAGAGCATGCCCTTTAAAATTTGTTCCACAGTAAAAGGTTGAAGTTTGAGTATTCCTGCAGTAGAATAAAGAAACTTATGCTGAGAAGTAAAGGGGGGATAAAATCCAAATCCTAGAAAATAGCATTCCCTCAGTCTTGATGTAACTTTCAAAGGGTGGTGGGGGCTTTGTGGTTTTGTGTTTAAAAATAGAAAAAGCAATTGTTTCTGTGATAGAAATGTGATATTTGCTCAGAGGAGTGTAAATGAGAAATATATCAGAAATAAAAACATCCAAAATCTCGGTGCATCTTTATAAAAGTGAAAATTAAATGACAGATATATCAAGAAAATAAATATTTTGAATTTAATCTTATGCAGCTGGATGCAGCTCAAGTTAATTCAAGTGAAGTCAATGAAATTGCTCTAGACTGACATCGATATTATTAAATTTTATTACTAGTCCAAAACATTCCTTAATAACTTATTACTACTAGCAGCTCAAAATTTTCCTGATTCTAAGTTGATCATAAAATGTACTTAAAGGACAACCACTTAATCATATTTTATTATATTTACCAAACAAATCAGTAAAAGCTACTAGTTTAAAACACTCACTTGACATATACCTATCGTTCATGCGCCTGTTCACATTTATGACCTCATGTAGTTCTATACTATCTTACATTTTTCAGGTATTATTAAGTGCAGAATAGAAATCTACTACAAAATACTGTGTTGCCAGTGACTGAAAGCTACACCTAAACAATTTGAAATTTAAAAACAAAGACAAGGAAATAATCTCTAAACAAATCGCTATCCAGAATGTTAGCAATCCCATTGCTTCTCGTGGAAATACAGAACTGTGTGCCTCTGACACAACCATGGATTTCCCAGGACCTCTGTCTCGCTCCAACTCTGCCAACCGCCCCCAGGAAGCACTCGCTGGAGTTCTTTGGGAAGCACTGCCACCTCCTGGTAAATCGTCATCGTTTCACAAGTTGCACCACTCCAAGTCTCCTGCTTTATTGCTGAGGTTAATGATGTCTGCCTTACTACTCTGAATTGGTTTTGAGTAGAAGCTTAAAATCTAGAAAGCTGTGATGCCTTTTTATTGTCCTCTGTTGATGTGTTAAGGGATTATACAGAGCAAGGCAATTGCAGGAAAAAAAGTAGCTCAGAGAGCAGAAGATCCATGATAAAAAGTCAATGAAGTACTTTCAAATATACTTACCAAATGTATGAACCCAGCTGCTGTCAGCCACGTGCTGATAAATATAGAGCACAGATTCACTAGCTTGATGGAATTACTGAAAACAAACAAAACAAATAGGAACTTAGACTAGAATTTGTCACACATTTTCTGCACATACCTGTATAAAACTGCATACTTCAGACTAAAGAATCTGATGATTATTTCCAAAGAGAAACAAACTCCCTAAAAAAACTTAATCAAAAGCTCACGCAAAATATATATTATTTTGTCTTTGCAGAGTTCACATTTTCATCATTTAGACAGCTTGAATGTTCCCATGTATGAGAGCAGTGGGTATGGCTACCTCTGTACTCATAAACAAACTAATAGAAATAATGCTTTTTCACAGATAATTTGGTTGCCTCTCAGTACACTCACCTCCTTATTTTTTATTGCTGTACACCTCCAAGTTATCCAAATATAAATACATAAAAACACATGAGAAAATTATGATTCCCGAATTAAATATCTAAGGCATTTTACAGTTCTCGTGTGAAGTCCTAAGTAATTTTCATATTATTCTGCTGGTATGAACTCCTATGGACTACTTTATGGAAATTCACACTAAACTGGAGCATTCCATTGTTTATATTCACATTTTTCTTTTAAAAAATGAGAAAAAGTAAAATTTAAACAATGAAAAAAAGTGATATTTAAACCTACCAATCAAACTCTGCAAATATTTTTAAGTCCCATTGAGTAGTCTGTTCCCTACTGTAGCCAAAAGTGATTTTGAAGCAAGGACCTCATTCAATTCCATACTTAAAATCTTCTGGAAGAAATATAAGCAAAACTTGCTCCCTCTCTTCTCACAAAAATCACTATCCTAAGAAGGATATTCAACACATCCACAGTGAACTGCAGTCCGTGTATGACTGTGTTTAAACAATCTTACCCATTCATGGAATTGTACTGGAAATAGTTCTCAGTTTTGAAAACATTTACGAGAAGGTATAATACCTCAGAAAAAAAACCTCAATTATTCCTAAAGCAATAAATTCAAAAAAGATAAAAATTGGAAACAATCACTATCAGTGTTAGCAGTAGTAGTTTTGCAGTACAATTAATTAATATTTCTATTTATAACTACTTTAGGGACAATAAAAATGCATTATTTTCTTTAAAATATTGAGAAATAAACTTGGAAAATTAATCAGATCAACTTCATTAAAAATAATTTTAAGAGTTACAGTTAGTGAAGTGGGCAGCTTGAGGCACAAGGAAAAGAATATAACTGGTTAATATAAAAGATGTGGTAATAAATATTATGCTCAAAAATAAAATAATATACTGGCTATCCTGCCATTAATCAGTGCTCACCTACCTCAACACATATTACCTGTTTCTCTCTTTCTTAAGGTATGGTTTGATTAAAGTTCCTATTTCGTTGGTGTTAACATTCAGTTATAGCACAGGACCCAAACCCATAGGTTCGTGCATTAAACAAAATCATAGAAGCCATGCTAATGCAAAGCTCCATTATGAATGGCCAGTGACCATCCTTCACCTGAACTTAGAACAGGAGATGTTCCTAATAAAATAATGTGTCAGTCCACATATTACTGCAATACAAGTAAATGACAGCACCTACTAATAACTACATTACTTGTTTGGTACACTTATTTCTGCAGATTTATTAAACACTGTACCTTGTCTGTCCTCTATGAAATACTCCCTGTGCTTCCGCCAGAGTCTAAATATAGATGAAGGATTAGTCACAAACATTTTCCCTCTCTTTAAGCTCTTTCCAACATCTGTGCAAAATCCCTTACTGTGAGCCCTGCCTAAGCCTCTGTAGTTTTGTTGAAAAATAATATTAGAAAACAATGAAGGAGAGAAATTTTCAACTGAAAACTGCACAAATCAATTTCATCAAGCATGAGAACAAAAAATATTGACATTTTATTTCAAATTAGGGAAACAAACAAGTCCTTGGCAGAGTATGGTGTTCTAATATGACACCGTAAAATTTTGTTTTGTCTTACGGGATTTTTTCAAACACATTTAGCAATTTTTCAGATAGTCTAATCATTATCTAACGCTTTGCTAGTCTCCTTACTGCCTCAATTTCTGCATTGTTTAGCTTCTCCCTTTGGATTCCCATTTTTGGTATGGTCCTTCTGCTCACTGCGTAAATAATACATGTTCCTTTAATCTGAATATCTCAGTCACTAATTCTAGCAGTAATTTTAATTTATAGGTTAGAATAAAGGTTTCTCTTCACTGGGGAAAAGAGGAAAAGGAGGAGAGAATTTCTCCTCCAATTGCACTAAATATGAAAAACACAGCAGTGCCCATTACACCCTATCAGTTTCTCATCTTGTTAGTGGTTACATATTATTAATGCCAAACACATTAAAATGTCTCTAGTTGAACTGGTTCCATATTTTTTTCATATAAATACATATCACCTCAAACAGAGAACTACTATGCTTTGCAGAATTTAAAAACATAAAAAGTATTGTTTGGTTTTTTTTCCCCTATGCTGTAACTTCAGAGCTAGTAATGATATACTGAATTTGCTATTCTGGTTCAACAATTCAAATTCTGTCATTAATCCTTGGTCTTTATGTTCACAAACAAATTACAGTATTGGAAATGTCATTAATACCTTAAAAGTGGATTGCAAAAAAATGCTACAATGTTTTAATTCTAGAAGCTTTTTAACCATCCCTGAGCAAAATAATGTTGCAGTAGCTGGGCAAAAGCATACAATACAGTATAAGATTTTAAATTAATAATAATGGTTTATTATTATTATATAAGGCCATTATTAATATTATTAATAAGGCCATGGTATGTAAATGAAACCTTTGCTTGAATTTAGGGAAGTAAATTTCATTTAAATAAAATTAGATCTGGTGAGGCTACTAGTTTAACTGCCCTAACTCTTGCAAAATTACTAAAGATTCTCCATTAACCACAAGGGCTCAGCATGCCTTTTTTCAGGTGCAAATAAAAAGTTTCCTAAAATAAATAACATTCTGTTCATTTGTTTTAACTTGACATACCAATTTTACAAAAATATGTTTTGTGAACATGAATAGCATTCCAAATTATTTAGGTAATTTCAGGTTATTAAGTAAAATACAGGAGAGAACAGACATGACTTTCTGTTGCAGAACCAAGAAAAACAACTGTTTTGAGGAAGTTTTTAAGTTAAATAAACGGTGCTAATGATGAACTGCTAGGGATTAATTAGCTAACTGAACTAAAACACTCATACATGAAAACTTTCCTTTACAGTCTTTCAATAATCAACTTTTAAGTTTTACAGATATTTGGATGGTGACATAAATAATTACAGAGAATATGATAACTATGTCTAATAGCAGAGTAAATTTTGCACCAGAAAAATGCTATTTCAACAAACAGGTCAGTCTTGAATAAACCAGCTCTGAATACACTGAATGTGATTAATGCAGTATCCCTTCATTTACAGATCCAGAATTTCACAAATCCCCAACTGCTATTAGCTTTTATCCAAAATCCTTTGAGTTTATGGGTCTTCTCCATTGACTGACATTTCTTATGGTAAAGTTGCTTTTTGTGTTAAATGTAAACTCATTGGATATTCTGAGCTCCTCCACAAATTGTTCTCCTTTACCATCCCAGTGGTATTCTAAGCTATGGGACTTCACTGCACATTCTTTGGTGTCTTCATTTGACAAGAAGTGGATTCCTTACAGTAACACAGCTAAAGACAGATAATGTGAGAGTTTTGCAGCAAACAAAATAGTTTCAAGGTTACGGGTTGAAGAAACAGCTGTTTACCATGACTGTGTACAAATCTCAGGACCTACTTAACCACTACTATTAACTATCACAGTAAGAAATGGAGTTACCTGCATATAAAACCCTCACACATCAATATCAACTGGTGCAGAGAGCAGAGGATTTCAGAATGGAACTGAGTTTAGAGTAATTATTGGAAGCTGGGTTCAATACTTCCCCCAGGGCATTTTAGAAAATGATGAAAAGCAACATGTCTTCAACTGCAAGGCATGGGAAGGTTTCTTTTTTATTTCCTTCAAAGTGATCTTTTGTCCAAAACTGTAATTCTTCTGTACAACTTACACATACTAATAGCCCAAAGAACCAGTAAATCAGAAGGTTAATTGGACTATTTTAATTATATGAAAGAAATGCTAAGGACAATGAACACAATCTAAAGAAAGTTCAGTGTAATTTCTAATATGTTTTTGATGTGAAAAAGGATGCTCAGTTCAAAAAAACTGAAATAGAGCCACAATGATAATTTCTCAAGGTACTTTTTAACAGTATTCTGTTGAATGAATTTTTATTTCTGTTTTCCAGGACAGCAGAATATGCACTGATCATATGGAAAGAAACAATGTTTAATCAGTGCAAAGCTAAGTAATTCATTCTGTTTCTAATTTATCAACATACAACCTTGCTAGATATTTCAAATGTAACAACACATCAAAATCTACTGATCACATAGCAAAAGATGCTCACTGATAAATCATTCATCGGCAGAAAAAGGTTTAAAGAACAGATAGCAATTAGAGGTTTTTTTCCAGGAAAGAAAATCATATATTACTAGGATCCCAAATTTAAGCTATTTATGCTCCATTACCAATGCAATTAACTCAGTACATAAGGAAAAAGTCTTACCTTGTTTTAAGTATATTCAGAAACTGCAAAATTTCTGAAAACTGTATCAGTCTAAGGGCTCTTAAAAATCTTAAACCTGCAGTAAAGGAAAAAAAAAAGCTATAGTAAAGAATAACTCAAATTATAACAACATACCACAACAACAGTGATCAATTAAATCAACGTTGGTAGCATCCAAAATGTCAAATACCTTTGAAATGCTCTTCCATATTTAATTGTTCCAAGATCCTTAACAGGTCTTTTTCAAATTGTTTTAAATTTATTTTCCTAATAACTGATGTATTCTACCAGAAAACATTAGTTTATGTAGGAAGTCATGGGTGGAGACACACAGGCTGAAAAGCTAAAGGGAAAAAAACCTCACTGAGGTTGCTGGTAATTCTAATGCACGTGTCTTTCTCTTCCAGGCTGTCAAAGACACATGTGGGTGTGGAACGCCTCAGTCCTCCAAGCTCCCACGTTGCTTAGTGAAAAATAAGAGATTATGGGCAATAGATCTGATAACCTGGATAAAGTAGACTGTATATGCCTGATTAAATTCGTAAATCTTAATGACGTAAAATCTTTTATTGTAATAATGCTCCTTATCTCCACCCTAATTTCAAAAAACTCAAGCAGAACAGAAAAATGACACATTTTCTCTTAAAAATGGCAAATTAACTATATTTATTTCCATCAGCCTATAACTGTAGGAGTACATTACACTTCAACTATTAAAGAAACAACTGTTTTTACAAAGATGCAACTATTTTTAAACAGAATTGCATTTTTATGTAGAAATCAGGTTGCGTGCATAGCAATTCCCAGACAACCACAAAGTTGGCAAGACAGATACAAACAGAGTTTGTGCAGGAGAAAATACTATAGGAGATTAAGGGATTAAATTATTAAAATAGTTTTATGCTGATAGTAAATTATTTGGCTGCAGATCTTTGGCATATGAATAAAAGTACATTGTGTATTATACATATGCACCGCTTATAAAATTAAAATAAAGCTTGGAGGATAATTTTTATTAGAGAGTACAGCCAGGAGTTACATAAAAGTTGTGTAATATGGTATTGCAACTGTGACAGTGAGGTCCAGGGCAGCTTCTTCTCATACATTCTCATTATTTCACCCACTTCCAGTGCTAAAAACCATTTTTGTTTCTAGAAACTTAAGAAAGACATCCTAGCAAACATAAAAACCTGGTCACGACTTTTATTATCTCACTGGAATAAGAGGTTCCCCTCAAGAGCAAAGATGCATGTGGAAAGATGTGTTTAAATCATGACATTATTCCCACAGTATTCTTGGAAAGTTGCTAAATAAAATTTTTACTCTTGCTAAGGCTTTTAAGCAGCCCTGCTAAGTGGCCTTGTTAAGACTCATAAGTAGTCTTAAAGCACACTCCTGTCTATTACATGGATATAAAGTTTCTTTTTAATTACTAACTGCAGGGAACTCTGAAAATTAATCACAACTTACTAAATGGATTTCGGGATCTAGATGAAAAGTAATAAAATGAAGCTTAATAATTATAAATGTCAGATCTATTTGCAATTAGAAGATGATAATTGTAGATCATATGCTGAAACTGTGAGACACATCCCTCCGACCCACTTCCAGCTGCTACTCCTATCCAAAGAGAAGCAGTTGGACAAGGAAGGAGAGGATCTTTCTCAGCTCTGTTCCATCCAGCTACCTTCCTCACTCTTCCACATCCCTACAAACTTTTTTGAAAACTGCCTAGAGGAAGAAAAACCTTTCCTCAGTACTATATCTGAAGTTAATGGGATGACCAAGTTACCCGTTGTCATGTTTCAAAAAGAAATCTGAGAAACATCAAAGTTAGCAATAACACCTCTATCTCCAAACCAATATAACGGTTAAGATACATCTAAGTTGCTAAGACATCAAATAATAGAACAAAAATACTATGGCTCCAATGTATTTTCTGTGAAAGAAGAAAATCATTAAGGATGAAGTTCTGCATTTGCTACAGCCCACGCCACTTTAAAGAATTCCCTTCAGAGAATATAACTTAAAAAAAAAAAAAGTGGAAAGTTTGCTCAAACAGTTTAGCTACAAAATAGAACTGGTTTCCAATTGTAAAAGCTAAAGTAATTACTACATGGAAAGGATCAAATAAAAATTTTCAGGAACTTCTGTGCATTACCTGCTTTGTGTGGTTCAAAAAAACCATAAATGAAATGAAAATGACAGTTTTCCCTATCATGATGGCAAATTAATTCTTTCCAGCATTCTAGAGTTTTCAAGACAGAAACAGATCTGCTATTAAATTCCTATATGCATCTCATTGTATGTGATTTCCACAGAATTATACAATAGTTTGGGTTGGGAGGAATCTTTAAAGGTCATCTTGCCCAACCCTCACTGCAATTAGCAGGGACATCTTCAGCTAGGTTGGGTTGTTTAATCTAACCTTGAACTCTCTTAGCCTTTCCTCATAGCAAAGGTGTTGAATCCCTCTGATTACTTTTGTAGTCCTCCCTTGGGACCCACTCCAACAGGCCCATGTCCATTTTCTGCTGAGGACCCCAGAGCTGGATGCAGTACTCCAGGTGGGATCTCACAAGAATGGATTAGAGGGTAAAATCTCCTCCCATGTTGCTTTTGATGCAGCCCAGGATATGATTGGCCTTCTGAGCCGTGAGTGTACAATGCTGGCTCACATTCTGCTTTTCATCCATCAGCATCCCCAAGTCTTTCTCTGCAGGGATGCTCTCAAACCCTTCCTCTCCAGGTCTGTATTGACACCAGGAGTTGCCCCAGCTCTGGTGCAGGACCCTGCACTTGGTCTTGTTGAGCATCAGACGGTTCCCATGGGTCCATTTCTCAAGTTTGTCCAGGTCCCTCTGGATGGTATCCCATCCTTTAGGTATGTCAACTGCACTACTCAGCTTGGTGTTGTCTGCACATTTGTTGAGGGTGCACTCGATCCCTTTGTCCATGTCATTAATGAAGATATTAAACAGTGCTGGTCTCAATATGGACCCCATGAGGGACACCACTTGTCACCTATCTCCATCTGTACTTTAAGCTACTGACCACTACTCTCTGGATGCAATCCAAACAATTCCTCATCCTCCAAACAGTTCACCCATCAAATTCTTCTCTCTCCAGAAGGAGAAGGATATTGGGGGTGACTGTGTCAAAGGTCTTAAAAAAGTCCAGATATAATACACCCATGACTCTTCCCTTGTCCACTGATGTAGCCACTACATTGCAGAAGGCCATTTGTTTGGCCAGGTGGGACTTGCCCTTGTTGAAGGCGTGCTGTCTTTAATCACCTCCCTGTTCTTCATATGCCTTAGCATAGCTCAGAGGAGGATGTGTTCCATGAACTTCCCAGGCACAGTGGTGACGCTGACAGATTGGTAGTTCCAAGGGTCCTCCTTTCTACCCTTTTTAAAGACAGGTATAATTTGCTTTTTTAAGTCACCAGGGTCTTCACCTGACTGCCAACAGATGGGTATTCCAGAATAGTGTAAAAAAAGAGCTCTGAAAACTGATACAAACAAAACACATAAAAGGACTGGACGATGTCAGGGCTGCAGCTGGCAGGTTTGCATATCCTTATTTCCAGGCACTCACAGTATCTTGCATTCAGGGGCTGAGCATACAACCATTATTTATTTCACTGTTTGCAAGTGAAAACCATTATTCCTGCCGTTTCCACAAAACCATCAGCATAAAGAGTCAGTCTGCCAAAACAACTCTACATAGTAAGGAGAAATCACAGTGCACAATGCACCAGCGTGCACACCTCCCCAGCAGGTGTTACATGCAAAGACTTTGAGTGGTCTATTGGTAACATCCACTAACACTAGATGAACCAAAGCAGATGGGAAAGGGGAATTCACATTCTTTAATAATTATGTCTAAAACTTGTCTGTGAAAGAGATAAGAGGTGCTGTCTGAATGAATCTGTTTGGTTCAAGCATTGACGGTTTGATCCTCTAGTGAATGATGCGCATTTTGAAAGACTGCAGCTAATCTGGAGGTTTAAGCCTTGCAAAAAGCTGCAGCTGAAAATGAACTGTAAGGATAAAACTCAGATGAAATGAGTTTGCCTCTAAATGTATAGTTATTTATATCACCTTAAACTTAGCGAGGGGATGATGTATCAACTGAATAATTCCAAGAGAAAAAGTCCACAAAGCACTTTATTCTAGTGCTGGTAGTAATGACCTGTGCAAGTGTGCTTGCAATCATACGTGCATGTCATCCGTAAACAGACAATACAGTAATCTTCACAGCGATAACTTTGTTTCAATGAGACTGCTGTCAAACTAAAACCAGACTAAATTATTCAGTAGGTAGCTTACTATGAATCCACATAAGGTCAATATTAAAATAAGTTAAATAGAAAAGATTTTGATCGGTCTAACTTAAGAATAATTATTGACAAAGTGTCTGTAAAAAATAGTCTGTCTATTACGATTTACATGTAATCAGTAACAGAATGCCCCATCCTGTTTTCAAATCAAATTTAACTCACAACTAAGATGACTTTATCTCTTTCAGGTCTATGAACTCACCAAGGTTGAAGTTTATTTATGCATCCAAAATAGCAAGCAAAATTCTGTAACAAGGGTACTTGTAAAAATACCCCCTTTGACAAAGCCGTTTCAGCTCAATACACAAATGTGTACAGTTCTCTTTCCTTAACATTTGAGAACATGTTTTATACACGTGGGGAAGATTCTTTTAATATGAAATACCTAATAAACTGGTTTACATTTAAATTATATAATCGATAGTTCAGAAAGGATAATTTTCTTATGTATTACAGTAAAGTCTATTCTAATTTTGCACATTTCATGGGTCCTGTCTGCTGAAGTTAATTGCAAACTGCTGAACAGGATGCTCAGGAAGAGCTTGCTATGTTGTCTCTATCATGTAACTCACCTTTTTCTTGGCAAGAGGTTTTATATCAGAATTTTGTCATGGCATCTGACCAGAATATAAGCTTCTATACTAAAATTTATACCAAAAAATAAGTACCAAAACATTGAATGTACCTAGAAAATCTCTCTAATCAGAGGAAAAATATACAGATAAAATAAT